GTGGTGCTAGTAAGAATATACAAGAAAGACAGAAGACAAATATCCCGTGGTCACTTTCCCTCCATTCAGTACCCTGTTGCTCAGAGATTAAAAGACAGGAGACATTTCTATTTATGGAAATCTGACTATATTAATAAATGAAGAAACTGAAAAACAGGATCCCAAAATTTGTGGCATATTTTAAATATTCAATAACTTTAAAATTAATATTTTTATTCATTAAGATAAAACCTGGTTGTAATATAACTTTTTAAAAGGAAGTTTAAAGAAGTCCTTGATGAATGCTCCCCATCGCCCTCGCTTTTGCCTCCAAATTTCAATTAGCTATAAAGTACACGTTTCTGTAAATTCTTACTGTCAGTTTTAGAATAAAATAGACTGAGGGAGTGCCAGAGAGTTCTAGAAATATGAGCATGAGTGGGAAGGGAGACCATGATGAGTCTGTGGCCACTTAGGCAGGTCTCCAGCAGCCTGAACTCAGCCTCGGACACCTGAGGGTTTCCACATCAGTGGCTCAGCTCCTGTCCCAAGAACTGCCTTCCTCAGGGAGGTCCTCTGTCCCTAGTTAGCTGGACCTTCTTCCTCACTTTCTATCCCCAGGTCCCCCAGCCCCCACCCCAGGTGACCAGGACCCAGGCCTCCTGGAAGGATCTCCCGGGCTCCGGCTCCAGTTTCCACACATCGGATATGGGAGAACAAACCACACTGGCCACACTGTGTGCTCAAAGGAATAAACGGTTCCAAGGTTACTTGGACATCTGAGCCTCGAGTCTGGGAACTCTTACCCTCCAGCCTGTGCCTTAAAGCAGCCCTAGGATCTGCGAAGGCGCGTGGGTAAGGGTGACCTGGGAAGCCCGGGCCTGCAGGCCGCTGGAGAACTCAGGCTTCCAGTCTCTCGGGCGGTCTGGTCACTCAGTGGAGGGGCCTCCCTCTCCGAGGCCGGCAGCGCTGGGAGGAGCAGGCCTCGTGGGCCCGGGCCAAGCCGTGCTGGGACTTGCCGGCCCCGAGCGTGGGAAAGAGGGTCGGAGGGCGCGGCCGGGTGAGGGCGCAGCTGGTCGGGGGCCAGAGGGAACCCAGTCCTGCCAGCCCGAGCCTCCACGAGGATAGAGCGGACCTCCCCTAGGAGGCCCGGCCTCCGCCCACTTGCCCTCGGGTTTGCACCGATCACGGAAAGGATCGAGGCTCCAGAGAGGAAGCTAAGGCTCTGCCTCGAAGTTTATTCTAAAAGGGTTTGAAAAATGAGGTTTCCAGGTTTCTTCACACGCACGCGCGCGTGATCTTGAGTTAGAATCTATAGAGTTTGGGTTAAACCAAGTCCTTATTCGGGTCTTGCCTCGCGGGGGCGTCGGCCGGATCGCGCTTCCCAGTGATTTCCAAGTGCGCGTCAAGGGGGGTGTTGCGTGGTTTTGTTTTGGTCTAAGTGAGTAACTGGACCGTGTTGAGCCAGTTACATGTTCATCATCCCGTGGCGTATATAAAAACACCTGCATCTGGAATCCTCCCGCAGACCAGGGGAAGCAGTCGCCTCCCCACCCCGACCTAGTGCGGATGCTCCAGTGGGAGCCGGGCGGCTGCGGAGGGTGAGAAGCGCGCGAGTCCGCCGCAGGTCCGAGGACCCCGAGAGCCCGCACCTGGAGGCCGAGGGTCCCCGGCCCCAGTCAGCCGAGCCCCAATTATCTCCACGTGGAGAGGGTAGAAGGTGGCCAGTTAGTGAATGATTGATTACTCAAGAAGAGAGAAGTTACAGCTTTCACAGTAGCCGATGGCTTTAGCATGACACGATGCCATCTCTGTGCAACTCGTGGTTTGTATGGTATTTGATTTGCTGGAACATCCAGACCCTGATCGTGCGTATCGTGTTTGCTTGCAGCATTGTCAATTTAAAACTAGGTCCTTAGTGCCCCTCTTGCTAATCCCTTCGTCTTGAATCCTGTTTTTGAAAAATCCCCTCTCTACCTATCTTTTTTCCCTCCCTCCCTTCCTTCTATCTTTCCTGTTCCCCTTTCCTTCCTTAATCTGGGTCGTTCACGCTGCAAATCAGTCACTCACCGCCGTCCCATTCCGAGGGTGAGGGAGAAACTCCTCCTCTCTCCCCAGAAGGCTTGCGTTTGCAGAACTGGGGAGTTCAGCTTTGCCCAAAGCGCTTTTGAATTAGTGAAGTTTCCAATTCAGAGCCACCTATAAATGTCCATAAATCGGCTCTCACGGTTTTCCCAATCCCTTCAGAAATCCCTTTCTATAACCTAGCACGGTTTTGGTACTGTGTTTGCTCCAAGTCGTGTTCTCTGGATACAGTTTCTCCCCCCTGGATACAGAAAGTGTGTGAGTGTGTGTGTGTGTGTGTGTGTGTATGTGTGTAGGTAGGTAGCTTCCCAGTTGTGAATAAATGGTTCTCCATTCTCCTATCTACCAAAGTAGTTTGTCACTTTGACCCTTCACCTGGCAGGACACAATTTACATTTTTTAGTTAAATGCTGAAGTCTTCTGCCATGTCAGGTGGAATGTCATTGCATTACAGCTTTTGATAGCAACTTGAGTGACTCACATTAAAAAACAAACTAACAAAAACCTATCTTCTTGTCCTGTCTCAGAAGACCCTGGCCTTATGGATGGAATGAAGGAGATTCAATTGATAAGATTATCACCTTGCTCACCTTGAGTCACCTTAGGCTACTCCCTGAGGCCTTCCTGTCTTTCAGTCTGAGGAGGTCCAGCCCCAAACCCCTCAGTGGGGAGAGAGTAGTTCAGATTGTTTTTTCAGTACATTGTAAAATGGAAAACAGCTTTTAATCATGTTGGGGAATCCTTTCTAATTCTTGATATTCATGAAATAATTGGACAAGGGAAGCAAGAAAGAATCATTCTGTTGGTTAGATGGTTACTTTTTAAATGAAAACATAGAGAACACATTTTACATTCACTTTGCCCTGTTCCATCTTTAGTTAGGGAAAATGTTTCCACAATTGACTCTTAATTTTACATAATGCCTCCACCCCCTTTCAGGATGGCAAGGATAAGTAACAAATGTGAACTCCTCCTCCTGTTCTCTTAAAGGTCACTCTTGATTTAGACTATTCCCTCTCACCTCCAACACACTTATACAGGGGCATTTTTCTTGATCCAGAGTGTTTAGAAGTGTGTAACTTTTTTTTAGTATTGCTCTGACTTTTATTCTTTTCACACTGATATTAGGCTGTTTATCTTGAAATATAAATGGATTATTGTGAAAAAATGTTTAATTTTCTATTTTGTTGTTTTTGTTTTTCAAGTTTCATGGAAAAGGCTTTAATTGATATTTAGGTCATAGTCTCCCCAAATCCCTTATTAGATGACCAGTTGTAAAGTAATAACATAATTGTTTCCAAAAGGGAAAGTAAAAGTTGAGATCAGTTTTGTTAAGTGATTAAATCATTTGAGCATTTATCTTTCTTTTATTTTGAACAGTTTGTGGGAAGAAAGGGAGGGATCATTTGAGCAGTGGGGTGGGGGGACAGAGATAGAGAACCCACTGAAAACTTATTTTTAAGATGAAAGGCATTTTTCCAGACTATTGTCTAGCCACAAATAACAACACAGAGAGCAGAAGTCACGAAAGTGGATTACTGTCACTCTGGGCTATTGGAGGCCTGGCACTAATTCCTTTAGAAAGGTAGACAGACCTAATCAGAAACTAAGGACTTCCTCCTGCAGTGTCCCCCCATTGCCTAGGTGTTGGGGGCTTGCTCAAAGTTGATATAGACCTCAGCTAGGTCTAGGTGGTAGGGCTTCCCGGAGGGGGTGGGGGGAAGCAGATGCTCTATGTGGAACTGTCAGGGAGGAAGTTCAGTGGCTCTAAGAGCAAGCCTGAGTGGAAGGGATGCTGTAACAGGGGGTCTGTAGTCACCAGTGTACCCCCACTCCCTGCACAGGTGCAATCAATGCATCAAAGCTAGCTAGGATCAAATCAAAGAGCGACAAGAGTAGGACCCTTTGGTGCTAGAGACTGATCTTTAACTTGCTCCACTCCTCTTGGGTTCCCATCCTAGGTTTTCCAGAATTGGAGACCTCAGAAGAGGGGAGGGTAAACTTGGCAAGAATACATGCCCTTCCCCTGTCCAGCATGCACACACTGGTGGGAGCTTGTAGAGATGAGGAGACACGCCTCGGGATGAAAGAAGTCTTCAGTGATCTGTTTGTCTGGCTCTTCCAGTTGTGTGCATGGCCAACCAGGGAGCAGAGGAGGGGAAAAAAGCCCCCTTTTCTTCAGTTGCTCTAGCTGGGGTTGCCTGTCTCCTCTCCCTCAACCCTCTGTCTCACCCCATCAGGACCAAATAGAATCGAAACTCCATTGCCTTTGCCTGTACTGAGCCTCAAAACTAAGGATTTGATAAGGTTACTGCACCACTGATACAATTGCTGATTTTTAAAGCCTCCTCCAAGAGACAGATGTTTGGGCTGATTAAGAATTGAGGAGGAGACCTGCAGCTACACCAAGGAATAATCTATTGGGCAAATATTTTAATAAAAAATATGAAGAGATCAGCCCGACCTTGCAAGGTCTTCTGCTTTAAAAAAAAAAAAATCTTTATCAAACCCCTATTCTATGGCTTCAATAAACAGAACCCATTACCTCACGGCATCTTTTGTTGGCCCCATACAAGAGAGAACAAAATGGTTATTCAGGGGAACGCTTTCGATTTTTATTGTGGGTAGCCTGCACAAAGAGCCGTGTTATTGTATTTAAAAGAACCATCTGTAGCAGAAACAATGGCATCAAATTATCTTTGAATACCCACTGAAAAAACATAAAGCTTTTTTTTTTATTCTTCTTCTGTACGGTGGGGGGACAGAGCAGTGTTAGGATAACTGACTTTTTTGTTGTTCTCTGGGTGCATTCTTCTCGCTCCCCCTCTCTCCCCCTCACCCTCTCTCCTCTCTCTCTCTCTCCCTCTCCCTCTCTCTCTCTTTTAAAAAATCAGCCATTTGGGGTTTTAAGCCATAAACGATTTTTCTTGTTGCAGGGGATTGCAGTGGCAAAGCTAGGCTAGGTCTTGGAGGCTGGTGTAAGGCGATGCGGGAAGGCAGGAGGCTGATGGAGAGACTGGGGGGAAGAAAAGCCGAAATGGATTCACGGTGCCTTGGATGGAGGATGAGAGGGGAACTGCAAGCTCCTTCAACTCGTTCTGTCCGGTGAGAAGTGATCAAGCTTGGGCTGACAAGAGGCTCAGGGAGCCCTCACGTTCTTTGCTTTTTTACCTGCCAATCAAACTGCTACAAGACAACACCCTGATCTGGCATGGACATGTAAGTAGCTTGCAACCCAACTTTGACATTCACTGCTAGCTCACTCCTCCCCCCCCACACACACACACACACATACACACACACACACTTTCTTCCTCTCTCATTCTGGTTTTTTTCCCCCTTTTGACCTTTACTAGATCTGGAAATACACCCTATGTGGCAGTCATTTAACACAGGCAGATTTTAAGTCCGAAAGCGTTAACTTTTGGAATTAAATGCTAATTGAGATTTCCTTAACAAATGCAGAATTGAAATGACATTATTTATTCTCTTCTGAACAGTTTTAGTACTGAACATAATAAGTTCCTTGCAAGGGTGTGTGTGTTTCTTTTTCTATGAAAATGAAGAAATAGATTCGTGAGCCTCCAAAAATAACCCCAGTAGTGAAAAATTCAGGCTTCCATCTTTAAAATGTTAAACTCTGGCATTTCATTCCTACAAAGAACCTTCTCCAGACCAGTGTTACTTAGAATGGAAAGACTGATTTGATTCAAAAGGTACATATCATTAAAAGGTTGCTACTACTTCAACCAGCGTCTTACTGTTTTGGTGGTGATTGAGGATGGGAGGGAGCTTGCAAAAAGAGAGGATGGGGACAAGGCGAGACCTCGTTCTTTGAGAGACTGACACAGAGGGAGATAGAAACGCAAGGGGGCAGGATAAGCAGGAAATATTACCTGAGAGAAGGAATTACAGAGCATGGCGAAGCTGGAAGCTGGGAGGGCTTTCTGCTGGAAGTTGTGCGAGGGGTGATGGGGCTTGCTCTCTGGTGCCCTCTAATGGCAACTAGAACAATGTTTTACTTTTGTAATTCAGTACTGGGAAAAGCAGCTGGGTTTTTGTTGTCAATACTGGGTTTTGTTTTTGGGTTTTTTTTTTTTTTCCTCAGAAGACTTAAAAACTAGAGATTATTAGTAAAAGAAATTGATTGTTTTCAGCCCAGAAACTTACGTATGCCTTAAAGTCATCCATGTTTTATCCTCGATCATCCCCTCCTCTCCCGAAATCTTGTTAGACTAATAGAGGAGGAGAGACTAAAGGCAAATTGATTTATGGAGGGTGGCCCACTCCCAATTAGTAATTCGGGGAAAGATATTCATTTCCTACCTGAACAGCATTCTGACTCTTCTAATATACTCGAGAGGTGTAAGGAGGTGGAGTGGGAAGGGATGATTTGGAAATTGCAGATTCTGACACTGGCTCATTATAATACAATTTAAAGGGGGCTCTTAGGAACCTCTGTTACTGCGACATGTGGTGGTCAGGGGGCTTTCCTTCCTGCCTCCTTTTTCTTTTTTCTTTCTCTTCATTTTTTCATTCTTCTTTTTTTTTCCTTTTTTTTTTTTAATTTTTGGTAGATAAAGGTTAATCTTGGGCTGAATGATAGAGCTATGATTGACAAGAGAAAAGGTGTTGAGGGCAGGTCGCGCTGTCTTATTTACAGCCCACTGCTTGCTGTAGAGTCTTTGTTAGGACTGGAAAGCTAATTTAGTGCTGATCAAAAGCACCACAGAGTTAAAGGACTGGTAATGACTGCTAATTTCATTTCAGCCTCATGCATCCCCAACTGCTGTAATTAAAGACACGCTATTTAAATACAGGTGAAGGGTTTTTTTTTTTTTTTTTTTTTTTTTTTTTTAAGTTGGGGTGGGGGCGGGTGGATTACAATTTTATTTAGATTTTTTCATATACTAACTTGGGTGTTATGTAGTCCAACATCAGATTTTAATGTTGTTATTATTTAGAGCTGCTTCTTGTCATTTATACCTGGCTTTGCAGAATCGACAGTATGAAATGAGTCAATCACATAAAAGCCCTCTAAAGAAAGTAGAGGAAAATGATGCAGAGGAGGAACTATTTAGGGGGATTTAAATATTAGGGTCTCCCCCCCCTTCATATTAATAGTAGGGGCTTCGATAGAGCTGAAAGTATTTGAAACTTGGGGCAAGGTTAGCAGGCCAAATGGATCAGTGTCAGCTTTTAAGTACTTCTAAAAAGATCATGTGAACAGATGGAAAAATATATTTTTAATTAAATAATTTCCCCCACACTGTAGCTGCAGTATTGGCTCAAAAACCTTGTAATTTCTCAACCGATAGGAGTTTCTTTATGAGAACATCAAAGGATAAAAAGCTCTACATTTTCGTAGTTGGTTAAAATTGATAACCCCCTGTGCACGCGCGCGTGCGCGCGTACGCGTGTGTATACACACACACAAAAAAAAAAAAAAGAAAAAAGAAAAAAAAAAGAATTTAGCCTTTAATCTCTTTTTATCCACGAAGACTAAAGCTCTGTACTCGACCCCGCTAGCGGCTCTCGCCTTCCGGGGCTGGAACCCGGCTCAGATGTGAAGCGGCGCTGAGCCGCCGCGCAGGTTCGTGCCCAGCGCCCCCTGTTGGACACAGTAGGAGCTGCGCAGCGCCAGTCCTGGAAATCGCTAGAACCTTGCTCTGGGGTTAGAGAAAACTCTTTATTACCCTCCAAAAAGGAAATGGAATGCAGAAACAAGTTTTTATATTCTTAAGTGATAATATTTTAATTCAATAAAAACTAAAGAGGAGATGATACAGTCTTAATTCAATAAAAAAAAAAAATACAAAGACTAACTTTCCTCCTCCTCACATCCCAGCCATCTCCCACCCGGGTTTGGTTTGGGGACTCCTTTTAAAGACTATTCCATAGTAAAAGAGTTAGAGAAACAGGATGAAAAACAAAGAATTTTTTTCTGTAGCTATGAAGAGTTAAGCAAAGGCTCCTTCTCCCGTTTTGTCCGCATTTCAAACAATTAAACGGGAGATAAGCTGCTTGCTGTTTTGACGTTGTCAGCAGCCCTCACAGGCTCTAAAAGTACTGTTAACAGAGTCTCTGAGTAAACGAAATAACTTATTCCTACTTATTTATTTCCCGAGTGTAATTAAAAGTCCAGCTTCTTCTTGGAGTGTTTCCCATCCCCCAAATCAATCTTGGCCAAACTTTTCCTTTCCTGGCAAGCAGTTAGATTCTAGATACTGTGTCTGAGACAGGTGCCTGGCATCTTTGTCTTTTATCTTAGCCATGGGATTTCAGGGAAGGTGTGTCAGTGGTAAAGCGTATTTTCTTTGAAATTCAGCATGTAATTGACCAGGAATCCAAATTATCCTAGAGAAAGGAGTATTTTTGCACTTCCAAAAACTATCTGTCTACATAAGAAAGAGCTTTAACTTTCTTTGGTTAGCAAGGGAGGACAAAAGTAGCCTTTGAATCATTTCAGAAAGATAAACTATAAAAATGACACATTCTCTGAATTTGAAACAATGGGGAAATCTGGGTTTGTTTAGTTGCTTAAAATTAAACAATTTTTGTGCTTAATGATCTCCGTCTTCAGTGATGCACTTAAAATTTTAGCTTTCAACCTTAAGAACTTTAGGGCTTGCTTTTCTCTCTTAAATTTGCCTAGTGGCGGAAACTAGCTTAATTTTCATAACAGAATGGGTTTTAAAACATAGTTAATACTGTGGCTGCGCAAGCTTTATGTTGCCCTTATGTTTATTACTCTCACCTCCCCAAATTAGCGGATCCGAGATTGTGTTTCAAGGGGAATTGCTGTTCGGTGCGATGAGATACTTACTCCCTCTGATTCCAGAATCGGATCTCGGCTTAGGTTTTTCACTAAATAGGTTCAGAGGCAGTGGTAAGAAAAGAATCAAGCTTTTGATAAATCTCCGCCCGGAATTCGATCGAAATGACAGGCAAGCAGGATTCCCTGCCATAGCACCCCCAACCCTGTGCTCTGCGAAAAGCCCCCATTACGGAAATATGAAGTCAGGATTAGCTTTGTGAACCCGCGCCAACCGCAACCGCGTAGGTTAAGAAACCGTGCACTGACAGCGGAGGTTCGAAGGCTACACGGTGGCTCCCGCAACGCAGCATGATAGGGAGGCCAAAGCCTGTAAAATCGTGGTGGCGACCTCAGAAAAAGGGTATATGCCTGCTATTTGGAATTGATTTAGAATCTGCAGTAGCAAAGCCCCGGGGATTGCGACCCGGTTCAGCTCTCCCATTTGTGCGGTGAACACTTGGGCGACGACAAGAGGGAGGAGCCGCACCTGGCTGCGGACGGGTGTGCAGGCTGCATGCAAGTCCCCAACTTTCCAAGCGTCCAAGGAGAAAGCTTAGCCCCTAGTTGAGCAAAAACAGCTAAACAAGTGGGTGGCCCAGGCCTGAGCAAGTCATCTAACACTCCTGGTGCAGGAGTGTTATTTCTGTGGTCCCAGGTAACTCTGCCCCTGCCGGAATCCTACGCCCCAAGGCGGCCAGCAGGAAGGCAGCCCTTCCACCTTTGGGGGCTGCAGAGGCGGGCGGCGAGGGACTGACTCCTTAGCAGCAGCGGCTGGCAACCGGCCGTGTTTTTCCGCAGCGGCAAAGCGCCCTTTAGGGGCGGGGCGGTCGCCTTGGGTCTCACGTCCCAGCGTCCAGGCCTGAGCCCCAGCGGGGTTGGCTGGGCGCCCTGCTCTGTAAGTAGCCAGGCTTGCCTGATTCTGTGGGCGATGCAGAAGAATAGGCCACCCTAGCTTAAACCCACTGAGCCCGTGCCAACTCCTCAGCCCGTTCTTACTTTGATCCCTCACACCTTTCCTGATGAACCCAGGGGGAAAGAAAAAAAAAAAACCGCATTCTGAAAACCAGCAGATGTGTTTTGGAGCTTGATAGGGCTATAGGGAAGTGGAGAAAATTGACATTATTAAGACCAAGATTCAAGAAGGAGCACTCGTGTATTAAATTTACTCTTTTGCTTTGTTTTTAAAATCAAGAACCTTTAGATTCCTTGATCCAACCACGAGACAAAGGCGACAGAGAGAAAGCCCTGATTGATTTGGAGGAGCTGAGGTAGAGACAGATAGTCATCTCTCCACCACTCAGCCAGGCAGACAAACCCTGCCAGACTGTGAGTCCTAATCCAGGGCCCAGCAGCTACGTGGGTTGCTGAAGGGTGTTGAAACCACAAGTACAACTTGACACCA